GAACGAAACCCAGCAACTCCTCACTCCGCACCGACGCGCGGTGGGCATTCGCGAGACAAGTTTCGACTTTCGGCGAGCCGCGAAGTTCTTCTCCATGCCGCGCCCGGAACTTCTGATGGAGATGCAAGAGGGCGACGTGGATGTCCCCTGGCCTCGCATCGATGGCTTTCTTGGTTTGGGACCGGGAGCAATACAAAGCTGAGGGGGGAACCAGCCAAAAATGCCAAAGCTACGAAGAAAAGAAACACCTCAAGTGGTGGGTCGAAAGATGCAGGGAATGAGACATGGAATGACCCCAAGATGCACCCATTTCCGATTTGGTTTTCTTAATTCGTGAATCCCCCAACCGGTTCATCCCCAATACCTTGTGGTCATTCCTTAATGAGCACCTGCAAGGTTGTTGGAGTCGAAGGTTTTTTTTTTCTTTCCCCCGGACGCCTTGGACTTCGGTGGCTCTGGTCGACCTGATCAAACTCGGGCTCGCATTTTTCCGGATAGAAATCGGGCTCCGTTTGGTTTTGGTCAGGACATGTTGCCAAAGGAAAGCACACTGGGTCCCGCGACTGGGTCATCATTTTCTTGGCCACAGACAAGTGGCACGAGACTTCGGGGGCCATTTTCTTGGAACCGGGCTGGCGTCTGAAACGAAAGTGCTTTCAGTTCCACATATCTGTGCTGTTGCATAAATTGGGCCAAGCGAAAGTGTAAATTTCAAGGAAGTTTGGCAGGTTTGGGGGGGGGATTTTGCCCGTTTTTGGGGGATTTGACCGAAGTTGGACCTGTTTTTAGAGGGGATTTGACAGGTTTCTACCAGGGGCTGACGGCTTTCTAAGGGGATTTGATTGGTTTCTGAAGGGGAATTGACCAGTTTTTACGGGGATTTGACTGGTTTCTAGGGGGGATTGGAACACCAGCTTTGACAGGGGGAAGTTGACCGGCTTGACTGGAGTTGGACCGGTCTACAGGAATTTGGTTGGTTTCTGGATGGGAGGGGATTTGATCATTCTAGAGGGGAGTTTGACCGGTTTTGGGGCGGGGAAGGGGATGGGGTGTGTGGAAGGTCCCGAAGTGAGGGCCGAGGCGAATATGCGACGTATCATGGTGCTATCAAGTAAAGGGATAAGAAGTGTTGCTTTGAAATGAGGGGGGGGCGTTTGAAAGCCAAAGCGAGTATTTTAAGGGTTCCATTACTTGGAGACAAACCCATGTGTGTGTGGGGACCCTGGTTCACGACCTGGAACCTTAGGAATGGCATCCGCCAGAGACCCCCCCTGATTTAATGACACACGTTCCCCCCAAATAAATAAATGCACAATAAATGAATGAAATGAATAAATGAACAAAAATGATAACATACAATATCAAACCAAAAAGGACAACACGAACCATAGAAGCTGTTGCCAATCATTCTGCCAATGCAACATTCTCTTCAGAGTCTTAGGGTTGCTTTGCCCAAGCTGGGAGCAGCAAATTACTCACCACATTTGTTTAACAGTTGGTCTGACAAGCTCACAAAGGGTACCCCAGTTCCTGTCTTCCAGACAGGAAGAACTTCGGGGGTTTCCCTCCAAGCTCTTGTTTTATAGGGCCCTTGTCGACCTTGCCCCCGGGAAAACCCCGGGGGTTAAGAGCTCCGCTGCAACTCAGGTTGTGCATCCCGAGCCTAGCGCCACCTTGGAAGAGGATGTAGACCAGGAGCGAAGGCCAAAGACCGGCCCTTTGAGGGGGTTGGGTTTCGATGTGAGTTTCAGTTGTGCCAGGAGAAACCTCGATGGGTGTGAAAGTAGATAGGGAACTCGATCGCCGTTTTCTTTGGTTTGAAGCTTATGAAAGAGCCAAGCCTGCCTCTGTAACCTTCCACCATCGACTTGTGTCTCGAACTTCACGGGTGACCCTGGGGCCGCCCGAGCCATCAACTTTTCCTCTCAACCGTACATGGGAGCTTCTCAAAACAGTGAAGCTTTGGTTTCTACTTACAGGGAAACGGAAAGGACACCAAATCATATATGGGCCCCTATTCGGAGAAGCCTCCATATGAGCAACTGGCAAGCAAACTCATCGGGCGATCCACTCCATTCTCCTTCAGAGGGATAGACATGATTTTGTCCGGGCTCATACACCTGAATTTCGGTGTGCCACAATGAGACTCTGTTGGGATTGTTGAAGGAACATCACCAGCAAGCTGGACATATGTGGGTGTGTCTTGCTTTAAGGGAGACACTTTTTTGGTGTGGTTTGAACAAGAACCGACCGGACACCAACTATTTTGGGGGGTCAGCTATCATGTTGAAGATAGCTCCATGTTGGGTTCATTCCCCAGCACATGTTGCCAAGCCAGCATCCGCTTGAAGGTGCCTCTCAGGACACTTGCAGACGCCATCACTATCTCAGCTATGGGTGCGTCTTGTTTTGGGGGGGGTGGGGGAACCCGTTTTGGTTGGTGGAACCCGTTTTGGTTGGGGGAACCCGTTTTGGTTGGTTAAACCCGTTTTGGTTGGTT